GAACAGAAATCGTGCTCTGGTGGCGCTGCGGCAGCCCATTAGCTAAAGCGGTGCTTCAGGTTAAGAACAGTTTCAGGTTAAGAACGGACCTCCAGAACAAATTAAGTTCTTAACCCAAGGTACCACTGTAAAGGTATCATCATCATCTAGCCTAGCCCTCCCCTAAGCCAAATACACCGATTCTCAACAAATTTAATCAATTTTATATTCCCCTTTTCTATTCTTCCTTCCTTCTACATGTGGCCGCTGGTTTGTTCAGGTTTCAGGTTTTGCTTTTGCTTTTTTAAAATTATTATTAAAAAAAAGAAGAGAGGGAATGAAAGTAAGCAAGAGATTAAAGCCTTTAATCTCACCCCGTTTGCTAATTAACTAGCGGACAGGAAAAAGCATTGTTCGGTCTCTACAGCGGGTTGATGACATTATTGTATTATTGATGTGCCGCAGCGGTTCTGGGCTCTCAGCTGTCTGGTACCCGGCCTCCTTGCTCCTTAAGCCTTTGTAGATGATTTGCATCCCTGGAGCTTCCTTTATGTGAAAAATAAATTCTGGAAGTCGGTAGTAAATATGTCCTGCACCAAGACGGTGCGCCTGGAGGGTTGTGTGTGCACGTGTGTGTTTGTGTGAGTGTGTGTGTGATGTGGTTGCCGACGTCTGATAAGGACAGACAACTGGTCCAGTCAAGGTCACCTGCAAGCATCTTTCTGCAAAACTACAAAGGGTGACTTTTTTTTTTTTGAAAGTAGCTTTGGATAGTCCTCTCCACAGTCCATAAATCTGATCCACACAAGCCCATCCTAGCTACTAGGGCGGGAAAAGAAAAAACACACCCTCCTGGCCTCTCCAAATGGATTTAATTGCCTGTCTTCCTCAAAGTTGTGTTTCTGTAAAGGCTTTAGGCAGCTTAGACTCTAGATGACAAAAGGGAGTCTTTATGCTCTCTAAATGGTGAAAATGAGCTAAAGCTTATTTGGGTTGTGGCTACACTTAATACAGTTAGGGAACTCATTCTCTTTCTCTCAGTGTAAGAGTTGTTTCAACAGCAGGGCTGTCTTGAGTATTCATTCCTCTCTCTCTCTTTTGCATGAGATTTGTGTTGCCCTCTTCTTTTTCCAGTTGATCTCTGCTAGATTTTCCTCCCGCAGCTGTGTAAACTCTGCTTGGAGCCAGGAACCTTTCCAAAACAACTAACGCCCAGGGAAAAGTGCCGCCATTGCAAATCCCCATGTAAATCGCAAGTGTTGGTGCACATGGAATTGCAGGAGCAGGCTGTTTCTCTGAAGACACAATAGAGCGTTATTTTGGGGGGTGGTGATGGCGTTGTGGCAGCCTTCCTGAAGGGAGTCTGGGGCTGGGTTGCATTTTGGCCGTTTCGAAAAGGACCACAGAAATGCAATAAAGGATTTCCCTGCCCTGCTTTCTCACATTGCCTTTTGGGTGTATTTTAACATTTATTACGGACCGCTTGTGTACATTTGGCACTCGAGGCAACTAAGAATCAGGTTTAAAACACGGTAAATGCATAAAGGGATGGCGCTGTGGGTTAAACCATAGCGCCTAGGACTTGCCGATCAGAAGGTCGGCGGTTCGAATCCCCGTGACAGGGTGAGCTCCCATTGATCGGTCCCTGCTCCTGCCAACCTAGCAGTTCGAAAGCACATCAAAGTGCAAGTAGATAAATAGGTACCGCTCCGGCGGGAAGGTAAACGGCGTTTCCGTGCGCTGCTCTGGTTCGCCAGAAGTGGCTTAGTCATGCTGGCCACATGACCCGGAAGCTGTACGCCAGCTCCCTCGGCCAACAAAGCAAGATGAGTGCCACAACCCCAGAGTCGGCCACGACTGGACCTAATGGTCAGGGGTCCCTTTACCTTTACCTTTAAGTGCATAAATAAATCAAATGATAAGATAATATGTCCCCAAATTCAGCCAGTTAAAATATAAGAGCTTTGCTGTTACTGAAGGCAAATGAGCATAATGGTCACAAATCCAATACATTCAGGATTGGCACTGTCCATAAGAAATCCAGTTGCAGCACTTACAATAAAACTTGTTGTTGTTGTTGTTTAGTCGTTTAGTCGTGTCCGACTCTTCGTGACCTCATGAACCAGAGCACGCCAGGCACTTCTGTCTTCCACTGCCTCCCGCAGCTTGGTCAAACTCATGCTGGTAGCTTCGAGAACACTGTCCAACCATCTCGTCCTCTGCTGTCCCCTTCTCCTTGTGCCCTCCCTTTTTCCCAACATCAGGGTCTTTTCCAGGGAGTCTTCTCTTCTCATGAGGTGGCCAAAGTCTTGGAGCCTCAGCTTCAGGATCTGTCCTTCCAGTGAGCACTCAGGGCTGATTTCCTTCAGAACGGATCAGTTTGATCTTCTTGCAGTCCATGCAATACTTATAATAAGACCAAACCTTAACACTAAGCATACAGAACAGAACACCACATCCGAACAAAGAGATAGAAAGGAGAACGTGAAACCCAGGCACCTTCTGGCCCTACTTTTATAGTCAGCATGACCTTGACAGATAAGAGTGCCAGTTTAAACCAGCTGTACTCAAGCTTCTCTGAAGCTATAACCCAAACAATAACCCAAACATCATGAACTTTCTGCCACACAGAGAAGCTTCCAGAAACCTCTTGAACTAAGCAGAATAGGAAAGGTCTCTACACATCAGATCATGGGTAGGCAAACTAAGGCCCGGGGGCCATATCCGGCCCAATTGCCTTCTCAATCCGGCCCGTGGACGGTCCAGGAATCAGCATGTTTTTACATGAGTAGAATGTGTCCTTTTATTTAAAATGCATCTCTGGGTTATTTGTGGGGCATAGGAATTCGTTCATTTTTTTTTCCCCCCGAAATATAGTCCGGCCCCTCACAAGGTCTGAGGGACAGTGGATCATCCCCCTGCTGAAAACGTTTGCTGACCCCTGCATCAGATCAATACTTTCTGTACTAAGAGATGCAAACCGAGGCAACTCCCATCAGCTCCAAAAAACAGCACTCCTGATGGGAGTTGTAGTTCCACCAGGCACCAGGTACCTCTGGAGGGAACCTGGTTGTCTAATGGGATTTCTTAACCCTGCTGTGTACTTAATGCACTTAGAGGCGACAATGGCCCACCGAGTCCTATGTTTGGAGATGCGCAGACATGCGAGCATCAGGCAAAGAAGATGTGGGTTGTGACCGAATGCGCTTCTGAACTTTGTTTGCAGAGTCCTCAACTCTTTGTCTGCGTAGCCTCCCAAATGAGCATAATGCTACTGGCCTGGTGGGAGTAGCAGGGCAAGTCTTAGTGTCACCCACATAATAATCTGAATAAAACAAGGCCTTGGCAGGGGGATTAACCCTTTAAGCCAAGGCTCCTGGCTTCCAGAGGTCACAGGGCGGGAATTGAGCCTGTTTTCCTTCAGAAAGGGGGGGATGGAGGGAGGGGAAATCTCCCTGGCTATCTTCTAGCCCCTGAGGTGATTAAGAGCTCTCTGATATTAGGGCTGTCAACTTGATTTAATGACACTGTGCTTCAGCCAGTGGTTTTGCAGCTTTTAACTGACAGGTTGAATTTGCATGCGCGGGCATCTCCGAAGCAAAAGCCACACTCTGCTTTTGTCCTTTAGATGATACTCATGCTTTTCTTTTGCAAGAATCGTCTTCACAAAGAGGAAGAATGCCCCTTCTAAAACGGTGGCTGCCAGCCATGCTTTCTGCAGTTATTTTGCATTTAAACAGTACTTCATAGAATCATAGACTCAAAAAATTTGGAAGGGTCCACGAGGGCCATCTAGACAAACTTCCAGAAATGCAGGAATATTTTACCCAACAACCCTGAGATTAAGAGTCTCATCCTGGAATGTGGACAAAGGAAGAGTCTCTTCCTTTGCTGTTCCCTTTTTGCTGCCAACTACATGCGCTTTTGCCAATGACCCCATATGCACAATGGCCATGTGGCCCTAGAGAGGTTACCTGTGGGGGAATGAGTCCCCTGGTCTGAAAATAATTTTCTCTGCTGCAGGAGACTGCCGAACCAGGGCTGAATCTCATTCCCCAATTGCATTTCCAGATCTAGAGAAAATAGCAGATAACTTTTCCACGCCACCTTCTGCTTTGACTATCACGAGTTCCTGAGAACGATACAGATTCTCTTCTCCGTTTAACTGTTTGATCTATTGATTATTGCCGTTTCGGTTTGGGCGAGCTTGGCAGTTTCAAAGTTTTCAGCCTTGCCAAATGAAAGGAAAATAAGCGTGCTGTGTTGAGTTTGCTCAGACGATCAGAAGATTTTCCAGTGCAAACTGAGGGTTTTCTGGCGCAAATTAACCCATGCAAATTAGCCTAGTGGGGGTCCACTTCCATAATGGTGCCAAAGCGGGGGTTGCACAAGATTGCCTTCCAAGACAAAAGTGGAAGATTTATAAACACTTTTCGAAAAGCGGGAATAATCTAAGAGCATCGGAGGAGCTCAGTTGGATCAGGTCCGGTGCCCATTAAATCCAGCAACCTCCTCTGACAGTGGCCAACCAGATGCCCTGGATGGGAAGCCGGCAACAGCTCTTTCCCAACTTGTGATTCTCAGCAAGAGGTATTCACAGGTATTCCTGGCTGGTAGCTATGGATAGCTTTATTCTTCATGAATTTCTCTCGTCCTTTTTTTTTTTAAAAAAAAGCCATGCAAATTGGTGATCATCACTATATCTTTTGGGATCGAATTCCAAAGTTTAGCTATGCACTGTATGAAAACGTGCTTTCACAGAGTTGGAAGAGGCAACTGGGGTCATCTAGTCCTTCAATCTTTCACCCAATACAGTGGTACCGCAGGTTACAGACGCTTCAGGTTACAGACTCCACTAATGCAGAAATAGTACCTCGGGTTAAGAACTTTGCTTCAGGATGAGAACAGAAATTGTCTGCCGGTGGCGCGGCAGCGGCGGGAGGCCCCATTAGCTAAAGTGGTACCTCAGGTTAAGAACAGTTTCAGGTTAAGAACGGCCTCCGGAACGAATTAAGTACTTAACCCGAGGTACCACTGTACAGGACTTGAACCCAGGACCCTCAGATTAAGAGTCTCATGCTCTACCAACTGAGTTATCCCTCAGGGCAATTTTTCCTGTATTTCTTCTGAATTTTGCACCATTCATCTTTATTGGAAGGTCACAATTTCTAGCGTTACGAGAGTGTGGGGAACTTAACGCCGAACAATTCTACATGATGTTTGACCTCCCAGACCTCTGTTTGTCTTACATAGCAGCAGACTGAATTCCTAACCACAGACTCTGACACGGTATGCTCAATTTTTCATTCTCAGTAGCTCATATATCATGAAGGAGGGGGGGGAATGTTCTTTGTTTTAGAAAATGAGGACCTGTGCAGACTTGGGCAGTTGTTTGTGAAGACTTCAGAAACCCACACGATTCTGGACAGAATTTCTATTATGTGAAATGGTTGTGGAAAGACAAGAGACTTCAAGGTCCATTCCACATCTTGGCCAAAGTGGAAACTTAGGCTATGGCCAGTCTTCAAGGACTTGCAGTAGATGCAACCACATCCAACTTCCTGTGACAGAAGCTCCCGCCAACACACACACACAAACACACTTCAGCCTATGCCATAGGTAGGACCAGCAGCAAATCATTATTTCCTGCTGCTGTTGCTGGAGAGCCGAGCAAAAGCCCAAACCACATGCAAGCCCTCCATCACCAAATAAAAAACAGAATAGGCTAGAATTCTAACGTGGGCTTTGTTTTGTTTTGCAAATGGGTGTTTGCGTGTGGTTTCAGCTTTGCCCCGAACAGTGGTGGAAAATTTCATAGGCTGTGTTTTAGATTTTCGTCTGCTTTCCATAGGAATGTTTATATGCGCCTGCAACTTGCTTGAAAGCATTATCATCTGACAGTGAAACAAAACACATTTCAAGTCACAGTTTCTCATTAAAGCGCTTATTAAATAAATGACAGCGTTTTTTGGGGGGGGGCAGGAGTAACTGTAAACTGGGCAGGAGGGCACGGTCAGGCTTTGCATGTGAGCGTCCAATGCATGTTCATACTTGTTCCATAGGATGCCTTCTCCAAAGCATACGTTACATATATATAACTGTTTTTGGAGGAAACTTGGCAGTTGGCCTGATTAGAAAAGTTCCTTTCCTCTACCTCTTGTTGCTTTTGGTTTGGCCTCAAGCAGAGCTGGGTTAACTGTTAGACTCCACCCACAACATGAGAGGTTCACACCACTTTCTAGAGATGCTCAAGGTAGACTCCGGTGGGAGGGTAGACAGCATCTTAAAAAGCAGAGACATCACCTTGCCAACAAAGGTCCGTATAGTTAAAGCTATGGTTTTCCCAGTAGTGATGTATGAAAGTGAGAGCTGGACCATAAAGAAGGCTGATAGCCGAAGAATGGATGGTTTTGAATTATGGTGCTGGAGGAGACTCTTGAGAGTCCCATGGACTGCAAGAAGATCAGACCTCTCCATTCTGAAGGAAATCAGCCCTGAGTGCTCACTGGAAGGACAGATCCTGAAGCTGAGGCTCCAATACTTTGGCCACCTCATGAGAAGAGAAGACTCCCTGGAAAAGACCCTGATGTTGGGAAAGATGGAGGGCACAAGGAGAAGAGGACGACAGAGGGCGAGATGGTTGGACCGTGTTCTCGAAGCTACCAGCATGAGTTTGACCAAACTGCGGGAGGCAGTGGAAGACAGGAGTGCCTGGCGTGCTCTGGTCCATGGGGTCACGAAGAGTCGGACACAACTAAACAACAACAACAGGGCCAGGTTAAGGGTTAGACTCCACCCCACCCACAACATCAGAGGTTCACATCACTTTCTAGAGATGCTTGAGGTAGACTCCGATGGGAAGGTATTCTTCAGATCCGCCTTTGCTAAACTGGTACTCTCTAGATATTTGGGGTTTTTTAGGACACTGGGTTGGCAAAGGCTGCATGGATCAGGCCAAAGACCCAGCTGGTTCAGCATACTTCTCTCAGAGTGGCCAGCAAGATGCCCCGTGAGAAGCTCGTAAACAGGACCTGATCACATCAGCTGTCCCCCCTACTGCTTCACAAACTTTTGTTTTTGTTTTTAAATATATCTTTATTAATTTAAAATAAATACATTTATGAAAAAAGACGTACATACAAGTAAAGAAACATACAATCAAACAAATAGCAGAAAAATCAAACAACCTACCACACTGTAAGATATAAGAACATTAATATAATTATCATCATATATACTCCTGGTTTTGAACACAATTATAAAATTTATAGAAAAGAAATTTAAAACTGACTTCCAATTAACCTCACTGTACTTTGTCTATCCATTACTTTATACCGCACAGTTACAAATTTCTTATATAATTTCTTTTTACCTTCCTACAAACTTAGATTTATACAATACAGGGATCAGTCTGATTCTGCCAAGATGTTTCCTTTTATTCCATAGTTTTCTAACTATTCTTTAAAGATTCTCCAATCCTTATAGACTTTTGGGTTTGGCTGGCCTCCTACTCTCCCTGTCGCTTTCGCTAGCTGCAGATATTCTACAAGAATCTTCTTGTCTGGTTTGAAGGAGCATCGCCTCCTTCAGCAGCTGCCATTGCAAATAGTGGAAGAGGCAAAATGCAGGCTGCTAAGTTCTCCAGACCTTGTGTTTCCATATCTGGAAGTCAGTACACAGAGCGTTGACCATGCCAGAGTTCAGATCCCATCCCACTCATGCAGTGTTAGAAACTCAGGTACAGTGGTGCCTCGCAAGACAAAATTAATTCGTTCCGCGAGTTTTGTCGTCTTGCGGTTTTTTTCGTCTTGCGAAGCACAGTGTCGGGAAAGTTTTGGGAAAGCTTCAAAAATCACCAAATTCTTCAAAAACCTCAAAAAAGGCTACCACACCGCATTCTATGAGTTGCTCCTCGAAGTCAAGTCGCAACTGTATTAACGGCGTTAAGAAAAAGGAAACAAACTTGCAAGACGTTTCCGTCTTGCGAAGCAAGCCCATAGGGAAAAGCGTCTTGCGAAGCAGCTCAAAAAACAAAAAACCCTTTCATCTAGCGAGTTTTCCATCTTGCGAGGCATTCGTCTTGCGAGGTACCACTGTATATAACCTAGGCACCAAATGGGCCCTTTAAACCAGGGTTACAGTCACCAAAACAGAATGGCTAGTTGGCGTTTTGATGCCAGACAGCTCAGGTGTTGTATTTTTCGACATGACTTTTTTGGTTACAGAAATTCATTCCAATTGTGGAAATAGACTATCACAGATAGAATTCTACAGGGTGTGTTGTTAGTGTGTGAAAAGAGTCCAGATCTGCTTTTTGTACAATGGTACAAAAAGTGAATAAGGAGTGGGCTATCTTTAAGGAATACATCAAAATTTATGTGGGAAAAGTAGAATTTCTGATAGATATTGAGTGAATCCAGAAAATGATTAGAGTGAAAGGAGAGTAAGGTCAAGATAGAAGAAGAGATTAAAGAAATAATGAAATGTGTTTAAGTTAGTTGAAAAAATAAAGTAGCGTAACAAAAACGGCTGGAAGTCAAGTCACTTGGTGGGTGTCCGTGTGGGGTAGGTGTTGATATGTACAGTATAAAGGTAAAGGGACCCCTGACCGTTAGGTCCAGTCGTGGCCAACTCTGGGGTTGCGGCGCTCATCTTGCTTTACTGGCTGAGGGAGCAGGCGTACAGCTTCCGGGTCATGTGGCCAGCATGACTAAGCCATATCTGGCAAACCAGAGCACGCACAGAAACGCCTTTTACCTTCCCGCCGGAGCAGTACCTATTTATCTACTTGCTCTTTGACGTGCTTTCGAACTGCTAGGTTGGCAGGAGCAGGGACCGAGCAACAGGAGCTCACCCCATCGCGGGGATTCGAACCGCCGACCTCCTGATCAGCAAGTCCTAGGCTCTGTGGTTTAACCCACAGCACCACCTGCGTCTCGCATGTACAATATGGATAGGTACTATATAGAGTAATGTAGGTATGTTTTATGTTATGAAAATAAGGTAGTGTGTTGTGTATTGTGTAAATGTATATGTATGTGTTTTATACTGTATGTTAATAAAATTTATTAAAAAAAGAAAAGAGTCCAGATCCAAGGATTTCCAGGAAGGCACCCCCAGATGGTGGAGACGTCAAGCACCATCCTGGCACCCAGGCATCTTCACTTGATCATGAGTGGCTGATACCCAGGGGCAAAATGTGCCTGGCGAATTTCGGATGCTGCCCTCAAGCCATGTGAGCCAAAGCCGGGGTCTCTGTCCATCAAGGATGGGGAACCACTGGCTGCCCAGATATTGCTGGACCAGCTCCCATTATCCCTGACGAATGACCATTCTGGATGGGGCTGGAGTCCAATATATGGGCAGCCATATTATTACTACATACATGGGATCTGCGAAGTCAGTCCAGTGAATGAATTGTCCAGCACTTCACATCAGCACAGGGCACCAGTGGTCTTTATCTTCTCTTTAATCTTTCCAGGCCTTAGAATATACAAGCTGTTTGTTTCTTTCGCCGCCGTTTCTTGAGGGTCTCCCCCCTCCTCTTTCCCTTTTGCAATTAAAATAAACAGGATAAACTTTGTAAATCCAAACCAAAGCTCCTTTGATTAGAACAAGTCCTTCCCTTAAGACATATTGACTTTGCAGCCTTAAACTGGTTTAATAAGCATTCCCTCTTTCCAGGGAACCCTTGGGAATGGGGCTGGGGATTATGAGCAGACGGGTTTTTTAGCACCTTTAACAATTCTCAGGGGGCTTTGCAGGGGATGCCTTAACTATTACACTGGTCTGCTTAGATCATCCCTGCGTCTCGTCATATTATAACCCTGAGCTGGGTTCAAAATGCATAGCCATTAATAACGTATCCGGTTCCAAGGGGCAGACACTGCACAATGACTTTCTTTGGGCATAATGCTGAACCACAGTTTAGCATGACGGGAGCAAGTTTCAGCCTCCTGTGCTTCCGTTGTAGGTTAAATGAAGCTTCCTCTGTTATCTTCGGTTAATTGTAACTATATTTTCTTAAAGCAAGTCAGCTTCAAAACACTGTTCTCCCTCTGTTATGTACTGAAGTTCTCACCCTGGGCCAGCAGGGGGATACTGT